GAGAAAGTTATGGAGTAGAATAATTAATGTTAGATATTTTGGATTAGGATAATAATTTAGAGAAATCTAGAACATGTTAGAAGTTTCTCTCTCACTTGTATAAATAGAGGTGCTTAGCACCATTTGTAACAATCTAGAATTAAGAAGAAAAACATTTGTAAGAGAGAGAGTTTCTAAAAACAAACCTTTGTAGTAAATCTCTTTCCAAAAGAGAAAAAGTTTTCTTCTTAAATTTCTTAGTTGTCTAAATCCCATCTTCTATCTCACAAATAATATTGGGTGATTTCTCAACAATATATATATAGCTTAATATTCTATAATGTGCAGATCAAGTTCTAGTTTTTATATCAATTTCATGATCCAGCAAATACTTGATCTTATATTAAGATCTAGCATAAGAAGTCAGTTAACTTCTTTAAAAAATTATATAAGAAAATAATAAGTAGCCACCACGTGAATTATATTGATACTTGAGCAGCGCTAATCAAAATGCTTACTGAGAATATCATGTGCGATCCGACAACATTTCTGCAATTTTTCAAATATAATCTAGCTGTTGTCTCGTTTTACCAAAAAAAGATATAATAGTCTCGTTATGCGGAAGTGCCCGTAATTTAAACACGAGAAAACATATTCAATGTGCTCAAAACATTAAACAATACTATTATAAAATAAAATTATTTTTATTTTCTTAGATACAAAGTTTATTTTACAGTTATTTTTGGAACATTTTTTACAGTTTACAGTTTATTAAAATACCATCTATCTATAGCACTCCATCTTCATTCGCAAACAAACAATCTTTTAAACAAAAGATGGGTGGCCTTACGCACCTCATAGTATTCGTCTCCATGTTTGTCTCCATAACTCTGATATCAGAAGCCCAGTACCGACTTCCGATCATGATATACGAACCCTCCAAACAATACTACACCAGTATCAGCCTCAGATCCCCCAATATGTATTCCGTTACATTCCTCCTCGATCTCGGAACCAACCTAACGTGGCTCGACTGCCGCGAACTCGAATCTTTATCATCACTCCGCTTCATCACTTGCCAGAGCTCCACCTGCAAATCTATCCCCGGCAGTGGCTGCGACAGAAAAAGTTGTCTTTACCTCCAACCAAACCCTCTCGGCAAACGCGTCACCGGCCGTGTCGTTCAAGGCGCAGCCACCTTCTCCACTAAAGACGGCGGAAGACAGCTAGTCTCTCTCCCCCGCTTCACATTCTCCTGCGCTAACCAACTCCTTCCCCTTCCGGTCTCAGGTGTTCTGAGTCTTTCTCCGGCGGGAGAGTTCTCGTTCTGGAGACAGGTGACGACAGCGTTTAACGTCGCCCCGAAGTTCGCTCTCTGCTTGCCTTCTTCCATCTTCGGCATCGGTCACTTCTATGTTGGTGGCGTTAACAGCTATAATATCCCCCCGTTCAATGCTAGCAATCCCCTACCGATGACTTTGACACCGTTGAAAAACATTGACTCGGGAAAATATATTATCTCCCCCACCTCAATCTACGTTGCCGGAATCCCTTTATCGTTAAAACCAAGTTTGCTCGACGGAGGAGCAAAGATCAGCACGGTCGTTCCTTACACCCTACTACAAACTGATATCTACAATGCTCTTGCTAGTGCATTTACACGTAAAGCAACGGTATTTTAATTAAACAACTAAACACTTTTTTTTTTTAATAATATATATATATATATATATATATATATATATATATATATACAGGAACAAAATATTTTAGTTTTGTTATCTGTGAAAACGTAGTAAATCTATATATTACACACAAATAACAAGACTATTTTATTTAATGAACTAATAATTAAATGTGATTTTATGATAATATTTTGAAATATTCGTGTGTACTAATAGATTTGCTGATCATATCTAGTTGGATTTAACTATATTTTCACAGAAAATGGGAATGTCTAAGGTCCCAGGAACTGCGCCATTTAAAACATGCTTCGACGAAGGCGGTTCTGGGAGGAACATAGAGGAGTTCATGAACGTGCCGGTGATAGAGATTGGGCTGCCAGGGAGGGCAGGGGAGGTGAAGTGGAGGTTTCACGGTGCAAATACGGTGGTGAGAGTATCAGAGACGGTGATTTGTTTGGCGTTCGTCGATGGAGGAAAGAAACCTATTGAGCCGATGGTCATTGGGACACATCAGTTTCAAGACTATATGATCGAATTCGATTTGAGCACCAGTCGTATGGCTATTAGCGACTCACTATTGAGCCATAAGACTAGCTGTTTCAATACTATATGATCGAATTCGATTTTAGTGAGTCACTCTTGCTCCATAAAACTAGCTGCTTGACCATGTGACCTTCCTGGAGATCATATAATCAATCAATCGTCTTTGACATTTACAGCTTTTACTTGTGTTCCAATAAAAATTTGAAAAAAACTTATTATCAGTTTTTGGAAATTAAGCCATGCAAATTCAAAAATACAAGTTTTTTTTTCAGCTTCTTTATCATTAATATCTACTTACTAATCTATTTAAACATTGGTCATACTCATCATCTATCTGATCTCAATTTTAACTAAATAATCTAAAAGCTAATACTAAAGGTTTCCATAATAGTTATTTCTTCCTTCGGTATTGGTAATAACAAAAATACAAAGCTTGCAAAGATATACATACCCAAGGTCCCAACTCCCAAGCTTGCTAGAAAGATACCAAGGGCCCTACACGTGAACCGTAAAGATTTTGATTATTATAAAATACAATATCACTTCCTTGTGGACTTGTAGTTACCATACAACAATCGCTTCTTTGATAAACTTGTTCCCATTATTTTTGATCAAATCTTAGCCCACAAACTTCCCTCGCCGCCAGCCTCTGAAAACCAACCAACTTACGTTGATCAAAGACAAAAGCACAAGTCTCTACTACAGAAACCTTTAGCGACGGAAACAACAGCCACTCTCACATCACTCATAGCCTTTCCATAGATTTCAAAGGCGGCTCTCAGCCGTTCTCATTTAAGTTTTTTTTTCTTTATACATTTTCTAATATGTTATTTTAAGTTGTGAGATATTCATATAAAAACTTTCCAGTGAAAATGCTATAAAACAGCGAATCAATCGCTGAAACAATGCATGCCTAAGCACGAAAATGTTGACCTATTAAAAAATTACACCGAAATAAATATATAGCTGGCTTCCACGAGATCTAAAAGAAAATTATTTTTATCATGTGTACCATGTCGCCTAGATATCATTCATCGCATGCATAGTGGCATTCTGTATTTGAACTGTCTCGACAGAAAATCTCACATGGGTTCCTTCATATTTTTTTGTATCATCTCTATGTACATTGACCATCTAGCACTCACAACAAACAATAAAGAAAATATACATGCATCATGTGAACCATGTGGTCCAGATATCATTCTTCGGATACAGTATGAATTTTAATTACTACTGTCGACAGAAGATCTCATATGGATTCCTACGAATATTTTTCTAGCATCTGATCATCTACTAATCATAATAATAAAATGTATACCTAGTGTTTTCTGTATATTATTTGACAAGAAAATTCCAATTAAAGATAGTCGAAGATTTTAAATTTTTGTTGTCATTTTAAGATATTTAACAGTTAAGTAAATATATACTGATGTACATTCTAACTTCTTTAGTTCAGCTAAAATCATTTAAGTGTCATTAAAATTAAATCATTTCAAATCTCCCAAATAAATCTTACTGCCTTTTAATGTTTTCATTTTAGGTTTGTATTTTTTTTTGTTTTTAAAAAAAAAATGTTAAATTTGATTCAAAAGAAAATAAACGTATTTATAACAGTTGCTACTTTGATAGTAATTATTTTAGGCTTGTATTAGATTTGCATATCCATCAACGTGACTAATAGTCGTAGTTTTCTTATTGGGCCAGATTCCAGAAGAAACTTCAAATAATCTCAATACAGTTTAACCGATGCATCATGAACCCATCACGAGTTGTTTTTTTTTTTTAGGACACCAATTTGTTGCAACTGGTCTAAAACGAGAACAAGAACTGTTATGCCTTCGAAGAGAAGAAGTGAAACTAAGCCTGGATAACTGAAGATCAATCTCCACCAAGTTATCCTCCATCTGATACCCTCCAATCACCATCATCTCTTCTCCATCTCCTCCTCTTTCCACAAACGCCAAACACATCACATTTTTCTCCTTCACAACCACCATTGAATTCCATCCGTTGATTCTCCATCTCCCGCCATCACTCCCCACCGTTAGATCAATCACTGGCACATCTTCCATTTTAAACCCCTTCTTCATTTTATAACATACCTCGAAAGGAGACACTACCGTCTCTGCTTCAATCATCTTCTTCGCTTTGGCCTTACCTCTGAACTCTTTAACAAAAAGTTTGTAAACAGAACGATGCATGACGGTAAAAGGAGTCACGGTGCTGAGCTTAGAGAGTATCGAACTCTCTAAACGTAACGCCTTTCCATCGATTTCGATTGATTTAACTTCGAAGAAGTATTCATCTGAGGAGGCTTTGTCAGTTATCAGCGACACGGTGGTGAAGAGCTTAGAAGCGTCGTCCCGTAACGGCGGGAAGAAATATGGACCACCGCCGATGAAAAGGTCTCCGAAACCAGAGTCCTCTGTTTTAGAAGGCAAACAGAGCGCAAATTTGGAAGAGAGCTGCGACGGGAGAGAAAGTGCGTTTCTTGAAAGACTAAGCAACCCCTGAGCTTCCAACGGAAAGCCCTCGAAGCTTCTCCGGCCAACGCAGGCGAATATCAACGGCGGAGATTGGAGTCTAGTTCCGAAGCTTAAGCCGTCAGGTATAGAGTAGAAGAACATTACATCTTCACTCAAGGTTCCAGCACGTGACGTGTTGTCCACGGGATTGTAAGGGTTTATCCCACAAGGATGGTCGGAGCATCCAGGTTTGACTTTTTCTCCGGCGCCGTAGCAGACCAACCAATCTGTAAGACTTTCGAGTTCTCTTAACTCTGTTTTTATAAAATTATATCAATCAGTATAATGTTGAATATTGTTACCTGGTGTGGTTACATTTAAAGGACTTGTGAGCTTGAGGAGTTTGCATTTAGGGGAATTGAAATCGATGGGAGTATAAGAAGAGGAAGAGTAGCCGGAGAAGCAGTCTAACCAAGTGTAAGGTTGAGAGATGTCTATGACGAAGCTGAGGGAGACGGTGATGTTGGTTCCTATGTCGATGGTGGTGAAGTATATATTGGTAATTGGGTCTTTGATCACCGTTTGGATTAAGGCATTAGTTTTATTTGGCCGTGTGGTGACGGTTGTTGAAGTGGTGGAGAGTAAGATGATGAAGAAGAGGAGATGTAGACTGTCCATTTTATTGTTGATTTTCATGTTAAGCATTGACTTTGTTGAGAATCTGATTAATCTTAATTTGTGTTCAGATTATAAGATGAAAACATGCACTGAATTTTTCATTTTATATTACTGAATTTTTCATTTTGGCAGTAAATAGCATCAACCCAAAAATTAAAAAAAAAATGCACCAGCGGGCAATCGAACCCGGGTCTGTACCGTGGCAGGGTACTATTCTACCACTAGACCACTGGTGCTGTTTTGGTAGTTTGGCTCTGTGTAAGTATCTCTCTTGTATTACAAATTTTAGTGATGTTTTCTATTTAGTCCAAGTTGCAATGTACTATTAGTTATTGTCATGGAGGATTAATATTAGTGGTTGCGATACTTTCTTAGCTTATCTCCGTTATTGATTAATCTATATTTTTGTTCAGTATGTAAGTTTCTGCTACATGGTTGTGTTCATGATATGAAACTTTAGACAAGTCTCTAGACTCTCTACGTTGTTAACCCACTATCGTAGCTATTTTCTTATTTGAAACTCTCGGAACATTATTTACGCTAGTGAGCAAAAATATATTGGGCCTTGATCTAAACCTAAAAAATATTATGTAGGAATATTAGTCAATTTAAGCCCATACAATCGTATTATTTCATCTGTTAAACAGACTAAATTAATCATACTATATGATTCATTCCTTTTTGTCGTATTGTATATGCATTAATGAACTTTCGGCCCAATTTGTTTGAAATATTGCCGGCTTGTTATAAGAGTATAACCTATGATCATTATACGATGCATGCAATTGATTGCTCTTTCGAAATAAAACAGATACTTTTTAATAATTTAGTAAACTAGATTTTGACCCGCGCTTGAAAAGCACGTAAATTTTTATGATTAAAAATTTGTATATTTGGATTTTCTCTTAATTTAAAGAATATTTTGGTATAAAATCAGTTCACCAAAACTTGTGGTGATGATTGTTTTTCATTAGTTTTTAGTGTCAGTTTTTATTTTTAGATTTTAGTTTTTGGTTTTTAGTTTATAAGTTTCTATTTTTGATTTTTAGTTTTTGTATTGGGTTTTTAATTTTTAGACCCGCTGAGTCAGTTTGAATTGATATTACCAACAAACAAATCTCATATAATTGAACCTCTAATTTAAAAATGAAAAATGAGAAAAAACTAAAAAAAATTTGCAATAGTTTATTCAATATTTTTTTGGAGTTTTTCCTTAATATTAAGTCCAAAACCAAACCATATAATTTGTTTTAAAAATAAAAGTAAGCCCAAGACTATATCCCATAAATAACCACCGGTTTAATTTAAGTAATGCGGTTCAATTAACTATATGGCTTGTATTATTTGTAACACTCTAGAAAGGGTCCAAATTTAAATGACAACTTGTATCAGTAGATTAACTATATGGCTTGTATTATTTGTAACACTCTAGTTATGGCCATATAGTAAATGACAATTAACTATATGGCTTGTATTATTTGTAACACTCTAGAAAGGGTCCAAATTTAAATGACAACTTGTATTATTTGTAACACTCTAGAAAGGGCCCAAGACTATATCCCATAAATAACCACCGGTTTAATTTAAGTAATGCGGTTCAATTAACTATATGGCTTGTATTATTTGTAACACTCTAGAAAGGGTCCAAATTTAAATGACAACTTGTATCAGTAGATAAAAAGAATAACTTTATTTTAATATAGTAGATTTACAAATTCTTTTTATATATAGATAATATCTTTTTAAATATATTTTTACTATATCATGTGAATGATATTACTCATTTGTCATTCACAGAAAATTGATGTGTTTACTGTTTAAAGCATTATAATGAACATTGTCAACAATGTAAAATCCAAACTTGATGACTTCACTTTGTTCAGAAAGTGACTTTCATAGTCCATATCCAAACCACTACAACATTACAAAGAAAAAGCACCATATGTCTATCTACCAATAATAGTTTGTATTTCAGTACAAAAAGCTTAATAACCTAACATTCCAATTGAAGAACTGCGTACACAACTACTAAAAAACGTTATCAAGTATAACTTTCCCCAGCAAATAATTTTTAAAACGACCCATTGGATGATGTTGTAGCAATCACTCACATGATCCACTTGCTGTTCGCCTGTTCCTGTCTCTTTATATGGTGGTGTCCTTTTCATGCTAAGTCATCGAGGGGTTTTGTGCAATTACAGTCCTCAGTCAAATTCTCTGTGATTCTCTTTTTGAAGTTAAAACATTTCGTACCAATCACTTTTTCTAACTTCTATTTACTACACTGCTTCACATGCCCAAACATTTGTACCTACTATTAACTCTTTTTTTAAGTCACATCCGCCAATGTATTGATTTATTTCTTCTGATTAATTAATGTTTTGGTTCAACGTACTATCTTTATTGCTCGGTCGAGAAAAATAAAAACTATTAATAATTCTGTTTAATTTTTAAATGTCGTTTTGTATTTGTATAAACAAATTAAAAATATTTAATTTTCATTATTTAAAAATAAAAATATTATTATGTTTCAAACAATAAAAATACGATATCATAAAAATTTAGAAACAATTACATTGATATTATAAAATAACATTTATTTTAAAACAAAATTTTTTATTCTCCAATGACAGCTAAATTAAAATGGAGGGTCTGAATTACTTAAAAGAGAGAGTTCACTTCCATCATTTTATTAGATGAAGCACCTTCGCTAATTTTTTTTTTTTCTAACCAAACTCATTTCCGGGAGCAACTAAGATAAGTGACTTCAAACCGATACTAACTCACAATCTGATTATATTGTACCGTTTCTATAGTTTAATGTTCATCGTACGTTTTATTGTTTCGAAGTCTAAATATCAACATGTGATCTTTGAAAATACACACAAACAAAATATTCAATTTAAACACTTGACCGCAACTTTGGTTGGCCATTTTCAGTATTTCTTTGGCCAATTTTTATGGTGTTTTATTAAGAAACTACTGTATGTCCTTTTACAGTTTTTCGTGTTTGTATAAAGGAAAGGAAAAATTCAAATTAAATTAAATCATACTCTTATATAAATTTTTATATTTAGATATACGTTGGTAAAAGTATACAAGTAAATCAACATATATTTTGGTATATAGCAGCAAATATCTATATATTTAAAATAAATAATATTTTCAACAGATTTTCCCCTGATTTTACGTGCTAGCAAAGAATAATTGTCAAATTTGCTTTTGCCAGATATAACAATTTCTCTTATTTTATCTTGGTACAGAACTACACTCTTATATAACTTTTATATATCGTAAGGAATGGCTAATAAAACAGAATAATCATAAAACAAAAAATGCAATATACTTGATGGGAATTGGGTGAAGTGAGCTCTGACCTGTTTTGTTTAGTTAGAAATGTTATCTTCATACCGACAAATACATGTTATCCTATCTTTCACGTGGTGCAACCAGAAACATGTCTGGCGCTCGAGTATGACAATTTCAATTCGTATACTAGTAAGAAACTGACCCCAAAAAAAAATTCTAGTAACAAATATATGAAAAACAAAACAGAAGAAACAAAGTAAATGAAAGGATTGGTATCGACCCATTAAAGCCCACCAAGTTGAATCAATCATATGCATTACAAGGACAAGTCTTTTCTGATGAGATTTTTTTGGATCATATGATAATTGATCATCTTTGCATTATACATAACATAGCACCTTATATAAAGAACAAATTATTAGTTGTAAGAAAAAAGAGAGTGTTGCATGATTCTGGGTTGTCAAAATAAGCATTATCTTTATCTACATGTTGACCCTTCAAAAATATCTCAGTGCCTATTATCAATATTATACATATCTTAGTATTTTCAATTTTCCTTAAGCCCGTGAACCGTTCGTGTCGTGTTGCTTGACTCATCCCCTTTAACTCTCTTATGTATATAGTACACATGTTTTGTCGATAACACACCACTTATATATGTACACATGCATACTTATATTCGATGATTATTAACGCGTGATCAAATACAATACTTAAGATTATTACTTTGTATGAGGGAGTATCAGAGAACAAAGAGAAATCATTTAGACACTAAAATAAGCAATTGAAACAGTTTAATAAGTAACTTTAGATAATTTTTCTGTAAAACTGTAAGAAAACGTGTTGGTCAACTATTGATAGTCAAAGACATTTAGCGTACTGCTTGCTTAGTTATTTGTTAAAGTGGTATTTTCTTTGCTTCGTCTATCAGCTAGCTTCACGTGAGCATTTTTCTCTCTAAAGTCAACACGTTAGTAACTTTTATAATTGGAAGGTAAGGAAAAAGGAAAGCAAAATCAATAATTGGAAGGTAATTAAGTAAAAGATTTCCAAATACTATTAGAAAACAGAACAAAAATAAAATACAGAGTGCAGTAAATTTAGTTTTAGTTTCAATGCATAATTGATATAGTTTTGTTTAGGACTGGGTACTGATACTTGTTACTCGTCATTACTTGCTACTTGATTCGTACTCGGCTTGAAAAATCAAGTACTTGGTGTTTTCAAGGCAAGTAACAAGTATGCAAATCTTATTACTTGCAAGTACAAGTCAAGTATCAAGTATCAAAAAAAATTTTAGTACTCGACTTGTTACTTGTTTTATTACTTAATATTGATTCTAAAATTTGTATTACCCGTTAATATACTTGTTTTACTACTGTTATTGTAATAAAAATTTGATTTTTTTAGTTTTTTAGGTATTTAATGTAATACATACTTATATTCAATGAATCATTTATACACGCACTAAATCAAATAATTTCAACAAACTAAGCAAAATAACAAATATATGAAAACATATATATTCCACTCCACGTTAACCAAAATTTATATGTGTTGGTATATTTAATTTCAATTTTTTAAACCTAAAAAACAAGTATCAAATATTACCAAATAATTTACAAGTATTTAAAATATAAGCAAGTATTTGACTAGATAAGTACTTGATCGAATCAAGTATAAACAGAAGTAAAAAAGTTTAATACTTGCACAAGGCAAGTCAAGTAGTGGGTAGGCAAAAACCCTAAGTACCCGGCTTACGCCCAAGCCTAGTTTTGTTAGGTTTGTATGAAAATTTTGTGATTGTGCGTTTGTAAAAACGAAAGTATGCATTGACCATTGTGGTGGGTGGTTAGAGAATATTGACAAATACAAGAAATGTCAAGGAGAAGAAGTTAGATATAAGATAAAAGGAATGCTTCACCTATATTAAAATTTCTATCAACTAAGATAAATTGAAAATGTTTCTAGACCGAACCCGAAATTATCTTCTATGAGTTCTTTTACAAATAACTTTCTGCTGCTTAGGTTTAAATTTAAACCAATATAAATCGGGGCTTCTAGTTCAAGTAGTAAAGGGTTTACAGCTGTGAGTACCGTCACCTTGGTTCGAATCCCGGCCACTAGGGAATTAACATTTCGACATCACTAGAGACAGAGGACCGACATGTGACAACACGTGACTAGTCTGAATCACTTCTGTGAGGCCAGGATAGCTTTGTATAATTAAAAGAAAAAGTTTAAACCAACATAAATCTATTCAGTATGAATATACCAAAGAGCTGAAAGCTCTTATTTTATTCTATTTTGAGTGTTCCCGCTTAATTGTTGTCAAGACGTTGTTCTTAAGTTTCAAATAAGACAGATTTGACTTCTGTTGGTTTGTAATATTCCTTTCACACCATTGGAAACACAAACAAGCCTCTCCATGTGCTCACTTTCTTCTCCAATAATCTCGTTTCGGGGCGCTCAATATCACACACGCTCTTTAACAAAAAAAACTTATATTGCACGTAAAATTTTATGAACAATTTTATTATCATGTCAAAATACAGCAGAACAAAAAAAAAATATTATATTGCACATAAAATTTTATGAACAATTTTATTATCATGTCAGAACAAAATAAAGATTATATAAAGAAAAGGTTGCAGAGATTTTTAATCATCTATTTCGGTTTATTTATAGTAGGAAATACAAAAGAACAGTAACTCAACAAAAAACATTATTAGATAATTTAATTTAAACCCTTGGATTTTATGTAATTTATTCAGTTATATTGAAATAGCATATAGTATATGATTGTTTGGGTAATTGCTTGAGAAATTTGAGTTTTTCTATTAAAAACTTTGCATCTTTATTAAAATCCAGTAAACATTAACTTGTCTGGTATTCTGATAAAGTTTCGGTTAGATATTGAAACTGTGATCTCTACTTAGTTAAAAAGGAAAACCATGTATCTGTACTTAAAGTGAGCAAAATAAAGATAGACTTTTGATCCAAAAAAAAAAAGATAGACTCCACGATAAGAATCATATTTAAGCTAAATTAACGAATAGGTGAATCAGCTAGTGCCCGCAATTCGAACGGTATGCAGGTTTCCATGGTACGAATAGGGAACATTTGCGTTAATTCATAAATCATAAAGCTCCTTTGTTTTATTTCTCTCAATGTAATTATGAAGCATACCAACATTAATAAATTACGTGGCCCCTTCTTTTTTGGTCATCAATTACGTGGCCCCTTTAGTACTACATCTTGAACAGTTTTAAACTATTAAAAATGTCTGTATTTATCCTTAATACGTGATGTGACAATTATGGCAATTTAACGGCGTTAGCCACAACATCACGTCATCTCATAACTCTACTCGTCGTCCGCACGGTTTCGTAACCGGCGAGCAAGCAGAGTCAGTATGCGTCTCCTCGACTGGCGAGCTTTCTATCTGGCGCCATCTGATGCTGGTGGGGTCTGCAATCGAACGGCTGTATTGCAGACGTTACAACGCTCAATAATTCAATGCTGATGACTTGGCGAGATTTGATTGGACAGTTTCTGAACACGAAAGTTATCTGATTAGATCACCTTGTAACAGAAGTTTAACCTCTTTAGCTACATTTACTCTGGTTATCAATTTTTGTTTTGTTTTGTTTGGTTATCAAAATTTTGGTAAGAACAATTAATATTATATTTTTTGATAAAACAACCTATTTATACAGGCTGTTAAAAGAAACTCGGTATTTTATCATATTTATTGGTTTCTTTTTTTGTAGAGACTATAAATTTTTATTCCTATCTCCTCAATAGCTTTGTAAAATGACGTAGTTAGCTAATTCAGTAGTTTACGTTGATGTTATTTTACTCGAATTTAGAACAAAAAACAGTTCTCAATAGAAAACTTTAAATTCATCTGTCTATGCGTTTGACAAAAGAATTTAGAACAAAAAACAGTTCTCAATAGAAAACTTTAAATTCATCTGTCTATGCGTTTGACAAAAGAAATTCAGCTGTTTATGCGAACTGAAAATTAACTTTTTCGCTTTTGCTCAAATGAAGTGAAATTTTATGAAATGACAAAAAATAAAGAAACTATGGGACCCAAAGAAAGGAAAAGATGGGTTGATTTGTCAACACCCGAAACGGGTTTTTGTTGGTAAAGTGTAAACGCAGTGTTACGGTGTAGTAAAGTAAAACTGAGTCGCCATGGGGATAAACCCAACAAGAGATGAACAAATGTCGGACCTCGAGCAGCCTAGTCTCAGCCTTACTTGTCCTCTCATTTCAACATTTAGTTCAGGTCCAGATAAATATTTAATCTGATTATTGTGTGTAGTAAGAAAATAATTAAGCGTTATAGTAACATTGGTATCCTGAATCTCAAGATAATGAAACTGCCGCATAAAAAGAATTAACCTGATTCTTGTGTAATAAGAAAACAAACAAGTGTAGTACTCCCGATTCTCTAGATAATGAAACTGCCTCGTAAAAGAAATTTAAATTAAAAAGTAATAATCTCTTAAAGAAATATAAAGCAGAATACGTATAAAAGAAGTAAAATCTCGACGAATCCATAACGCTTCTTTTATAAGTTTGTGTGCTGTACAATGAATAACATTTAATGCAGAAAAAAAGCATAAGAAGAGGAGAAGAAGAAACGTGTGCTGACTGCTGAGTCAGTGACGCGAAACACTAACTAGCTGCCGCAAGTATCCATTTAATTTCCCTTGTATGTCATCATCATCGTCCTTGATCAATTCATTCATAACACTATCATCATCATGATGATTATGATGACGATGATGATCATCAAATATAAGATTTGAGTTGTCAAGAGATTGTACCGGCTTAAGCACACTGCACACATTAGCAAGCCTAAATAAAGACTAATCAACTTTAACGTTACCGGACGCTGACTGCATCGCAGCCAAACCGCTACACCACAACCAAAATTAAACCCATTACATGCGATGAAGTATCAATGTAATATAGCGATCAAAAATTATGTTGATTGTGCAAATAACCGGTGAGGAGGGTCAAAACTACGAAGTGTGTTCACTTCTTTTTTTTTTTACTGAAGTAGCCTTGAAAAGCAAATGTTGCCATCCTCACATTCAGCGTTTCAATATTTTACTTTAATATTCTTTATCCTTTATAAATATATTCAAACCTAATAATAAAAGCGAAAGATTAAAGCTAAAACAAATGGACAAAATGATCTAAAATAATAGTGGGTGGGACACGGTTCCAATTCCATTACTCCATTATTTTTGCCAAGTTTGAAAAGGAAAACAAACAAACATTAAAAAAAAAAAAAAAATAGAAGAGTGTACTGAATCAAAAGTGTCAATATCACTAACTACCCATATTTTAATTTCAGAAGGGGTTTGGTATCTAGTATCTACCAAACTTGTTCACTGCAATTGAGTATATTTTTTATAAGAGTGACAAAAACCATGAGTCATAGAATTTTGTAAAAAAAGTAAGCTCATTTTTATTTTCTGAAATAGACAACTATGAACACTAGGATCTCATTAAGAATGCAAGCACCCAGAGAAAAAAAAAAAACAAGAACTACAATATAAATATTCGTTTGATTTTATATTATGATTCTATAAATTACTTAAGAACTATCACAATAAAAAAATCCTAATATAACATAGGATTGGATCCGTTGGAGTAAAAACGAAGAGAAGGATTCTAAGAATCCCCAATAATTAAGTAAAAAAAACCCCATTTCCAGGTATAATCACAAAGGATACACAAACCATGGCAAGTTTTGATATTATTTTGTTTGCTCACATAATATTGCAACTTGATGTGTTCTCATCATTGAAATAATGAGAATACTGATCACCGCCATGGGGAGGATAAGGGTATGGATACGGGTACGGGTAAGGATGTTGTTGGTGCGGTGGAGGTGGCAAATAGTTGACATCGGGTGGTGGTCGAGCGTACATCATCGGTTGGAACCGCTCATTGCCCATGGCTCTTTGCTGGTTCATAACCGCCGCTAAGTATTGTTGTTGTTGTTGCTGTTGCTGCTGTTGTAAATAGGGATTTCCCGGCATTGAGTCTTGGCCACCTCCAGCGCCACCATGGCCTTGGAAATATCCTGGCGGGGCTCCTGCGGCTGAGCCACCACCTCCACCTCCTGGACCCATTGCGGGTAATCCCTGAACGGCCTGCATATTATTACCCATTGGACCAGGACCACCACCCATAGATGGTAGATTACCTATTTGACCACCCATTTGCATATTCATCATGGGAGGTCCTCCGCCATTGCCGCCTCCCATTGGACGGAAACCCGGCGGGAGTCCTCCACTCATGAGTCCTTCTCCAGCACCACCCTTTTTGCCTCCGTTGGGACCACCAATCATCTGGCCTCCTCCTCCTTTATTATTACCGTTAGGAGCGCCACCACCTCCGCCATTTTTTCCATCTAACGGATGTCCACCACCACCACCGTTTTTACCGCCGTTCTTGCCTCCGCCTTGATTTGGATTCCCCACATTACCGCCACCACCACCACCGGGACCACCCTTCTTACCACCGTTACCTCCTCCGCCGCCAGGCATTTGTACAGGAAAAGGGGGACCACCGGGTTTGCCACCGGCAGGTCCAGGACCACCGCCGTTTTTGTGAGCGTTGGGCATCATCATGTTAGGCATCATGTTATTAGGCATCATCATGTTACCTCCACCACCACCCATGATAGGCTTCATCTTGTTAGGCGGAGGAGCGTGGTCGTCAAACTCATCATCGTCCAACTCATCATCAAACTCGTCATCATCATCAAACTCATCATCATCAAATTCGTCATCACTGAAATCGTCATCATCATCTTCAGGAACATCAAACTTCACAGCCTTCTGATTAGGATTCTGAGGGTTCTTGTTCGCCGGAACAGAGCCAGGGCCTGGACCTGGACCTTTTAACTGAGGAGGAAGCTTCAGATCTTGGAACGCTTTCATCTGCTGTAGCTGTTGAAGCTGCTGAAGTTGCTGAGGATTTAGCTGCTGCATCTGTTGTGGAGTTAACTGTGGAAGAATCATCTTCGGTGGCCCACCACCACCTCCTCCGCCTCCACCACCACCACCACCTCCTCCGCCTCCACCACCACCTCCCTTCTGGCCTTTGTTATTGTTTCCACCACCCCCACCACCTTTGCCGCCGTGGTCAATCTGCATGCCTTTGAGCTGATTGGCCAAGTTGGGTTGGTTCTGATTGGTGTTATTACCCTTAGGAGCTCCCCAGAGTTCGGCATGTTTACCAGATTTCAAGAGCTTCTTGATCAGGACCGAAGGGTCTACGTTTCCAGATACTGTCACTTTCCCTTGCTCTGCGTCTATCTTTGTCGTAAAAACACCTGTTCCATGACCGAAAGCAACTTTAGCCTTTGTCAATAAAAAAAAAATCAAAATCTTTAACCAAATCTGAAAATGTTTGTCAAAATGTAGAAGCTGAGAATTTTTTTGGTTTTGCTAGCTTCTCTTACCTTCAATCTTCTGCAAGATTTTCTTCACTTTCTGCTTACAACCATCACAGTGAATATTCACTTTAAGAACACATGTCTACACAAAGAAAACATCACAACAACAAAAACAGAGTAAGCTCGCATATTAGTATAACAATATGATGGAAGAAAAAAAAAATGTGGTGAGCAGACAAACCTGTATCTTCATAAACTCTTCTTTACTCATTTTTCTTCCTTAAATTATAAAATATTTATATCTCGGTAGATCTGAGGGTTCTTGAAAGTTAGATGTGTGCACAATCAAGAACGTAGGAAATGCAAATGAGAATTAAAACGATTATGAATTACATATAGTAAGAGAGAGAGGGAGAGGGGAGTAATAATGAGGCGTGGGGTGTAGTGAAGTATGGAGAAAAGTGGGCCCCCCCTCTTCTAAATCCACCGTACATTAGAAAGATTCCCATATTAGATACGTGGGTCCCGCTTTATTTTCAGTAACTGACGATCCTCACCGTTGATTTTTATTTTCCCATATCGAGTTTTTTTGTTAATCTGCGTTGCACCGAAGTATTACTACTACCACTCATCGGGTCGACCCGGTTCAGCTGATCGACCGGTTTAATTATCCGGTATACTTATAGGTTTCTTTTCTCTCGTACTTGTAGCCTTTAACTTCTCTTTTGACCGCAGAATGCAGATAGGAAGATTTTGTGTTATTCGCTCTTTTTGACAGACGTAACAAGCAAATCAAGAATATGTTGATTTATTTTTCAGTTTTTTTTTATCATTTTTTATTGTAGCTACTATATTACTGGTTACGACTTTCCCATTCTTTAATCTTTTTGTATATACGATTTTTGGGAGAAATATATTAATATACATAGATCTTGCTTTAGTTATAAATCATATTGTGGTATGGTTTTCATAACAATGAGACATTGTGTTGATAGCCACCATCACAAGACCAAACGTCGTATCCATTGTGTCATCTCAGACATTGTGTTTGGTATGGCTTTATATGAACCATATTTCTGTTAAACATGCATTTTAATGCTTGGCTCGTTTCGTTGTACATAACATTTAGCTATCGAGTATGAACGTTGTCATGAATATATTGGAAAGTTTTTGGGACAAAGATTTTCAGGACATGGATGGTTCATGGTTTGCTCAAGAAGATGATGTATCTTGAATCCTCTTCGTAGGTTGAGGGTGATGTGATTGTGAACTGCCACGTATCGAATGTTATGGAAATCAGGTTGATCGACCTTTCCGAAAATGAACATGCTTGTGATGTTCATTGTCATTAGTTGGTTTGTATACTTTATGATCATAGATTGTGAGTGGAATTAAATTTTAGTTTTTACCAAGGCAAATCGAATGTGTAGCAATATACCTTAGAAGTCAGTGAAGAATTATTCTTTGTCGAAGTAAAAATTACTGCTATTTGCTACTCCCTCTGTTTTAATATAAGTGTCACTCTACAGCTATGCACACGGATTAAGGAAACAATTAATTTTACACATTTCCTATATAAAAACACAATTACCCATACACCTAACCATATTTTAACCAATAGAAAAACAAATTACATAATAAAATTAATAAATTTTACATTGAAAACCGAAAACGACACTTATTTTGTAACACAAAAAATTCTCTACAATGACACTTAATATAAAACGGAGGGAGTACTATTTACAATTCATGGGAATAGAGTTGGGTTCAAACTTGGGAATTAGCAAATAAATATAAAATAATTTAGCATCGGACCATAATAGAGGGGTTTTGTCGGTCATGTTTTAGACCAATCCATCTCTTTTGTAGGGCTAAGTAAAAACTAATACGTTTTCAGCCATCCCAACGTATATTTATACTATTATGTCGACAAATGAATACTATATTTGGGTGTAATTATTTAGTACTACTATCTAAAGCAATTCGTTCAACAATGAGAAAGGACTTCAGTGTTCAGAAAAAACTTTGCAAATCGCAACAAATGCACAAGTATATGTCCAAACACATGACATTAAATTGCGTAATTTTGTTTAAACTTTTGTAGCTCATAAAGTCGATGGGAAGAGGAAAAATGTTAGCCGTTGAGACGGAAGAAAGTATAATTGGAAGCAGCAAGTGTATTGGACATCGCCATGTGAAAATCACTGACACTAGACCGTGTTGGGTCTTGAGCCATCTCTACTTCGAACTCCTCACTTTGACTCTTACAAGTCTTACTCTTCTTTTAATTCACTTTTCATTTAATTAATTTAACACCTTCACTAATTTTTCTTCTTTCCTAAATAAATAATTGTTCCCACACTCCATACGACTCTAACCCGTACTTAACTCATTAATATAATTGTATTATACCTTCGGGCTCTGGGTGAATATTAAGAATATGTTTACCATTTCTATATTTACCATTTGATCAAAAAAAAAAAAGTGCTCGTCGTACGTTTTAAATATTTTGACAATTGAATTACCATCATGTGATTCTTTAGTTTGGTCTTTGTAAATCCACACAGACGAGAATATTTAATTAAAGACTTGACCGCAACTTTAGTTGACCATTTTCAGTATTTATTTGGCCAATTTCTTAATCATACTATTAAGAACTAGAGTTGGGTACAAATGTTTGATATTTGACTTGTATTCGTTATTTGACTCAATTTAGTTTAAAAAAATAAGTACTTACTTCAATCAAATTGAGTAACAAGTAAACAAATTTTATTACTCGCAAATACAAATCAAATATTAAAATCTTTTTAATTTTTAACTATTTGATTTGTTACTTGGTTTATTGCTTGTTATCATTTATTTGTAACTTGTCATATATTAATTTGTTATATATTAATTGGTTTGTTAAATATTTAGTATATATTTTATTAATTAATAAAAATTTATGTACTTTATAAGTTGTCACAATTATTTGTTACTTGTCTCATGTTCACTATTTGGTTGGTACACGATCTTTAAAGTCAAATATATGTTTTGATTAAGACGTGTATCAAATAGTCTATTTAAATTACCTTCAAAAACAAACAAATACAAAATAACAAAATAAAACTAAGTATTCAGCGTTGTCTGGTTTATTATTCGTTTTTGTTAATGAACAAATATTCATTTTTCTAAATTATAGTAAAACAACTCATTTATACTTCAATTTTTATAAATGAATCAAACATAAGCGATATATTTATACAAATATTTTGAATTTTTTTTCTTTCTTAGTATAATTTATCTCAAAAATGATCAAAAATCAGAAAAATGACAAAATAAAAACAAGGACATGTTATTTATATATAATAAATTTATTTATCTTTAAATTTTAATTTGTTATCAAATAATTTACCAATAGTTATCATGTAATTTATAAATAAAATACAAATAACAAGTAATAAAATAAGGTAAGTAACTTGCAAATCTATTAATTTTTCCAAATACATGAAATTGCAAGTACTCGTTTTTTAACAAACCAAGTACAAATCCAAAATTTGAATACTTGTTCAAGCCAAACCGAGTACTAAATATATGGTATATATCAAAAATACCAAGGATTCGGTTTGTGTCCATCCCTATGAAAAAATACTGCATGTCCTTGATCACATATTTAAAAATTAATGACATAGGTAGTTTATAAAAGGTTTAAGCAAGTCATATAATATATTTACAAATTTATATTATAGTATAAAATATACATAGGTAATTTATAAAAGATCTAAACATATATTGTGGTCTATCGCAGCAAATAAATCTATATTAATATATATATATTTCAATAGATCTCCCCTGATTTTACTGCAGGCAAAGAATAACTATTAAAGTTCCTTTTAGACATAATACAATTTATTTTATCTCAGTACAGAACTATGCAAAACATAAGTTACATATATACATATATATTGTATATATCACAGTGAATGGCTAAAAAGGAAAGGATTGGGGGTGAGGAAACCACAAAACAAAACAGATTATAAAATAGAGAAATACACGGCAAGATATTTGATTGGAATTGGGTTGAAGAGCTTTGGGATGTTTTGTTTAGTTAAATTCTAGATGTTATCCCATCTTTCACGTGGTACTACCAGAAACAACATGTCTGGCGCTCGAGTATGACAATTTCAATTCGTATACGGTATACTTGTAACAAAATGTTTGTAAGAAATAAAACAACATAATAAAAATTTAAATGAAAGGACTGGTATCGACCGATTAAAGCCCATCCACTATTGAGTCGAATCATTCATATGCATCACAAGGACAGGTCTTTTCTGATAAGCCTTTTGGATCATATGATAATTGATCATCTTTGCAATATGCCAATATGCATTACTTTACATACAAATATACAAAACATTCCATCTTACATATAAAGATAAAGTTACTAATTGTAAAGAGATGAAAAAAGACTATGCAACAGTATGGGTTGTCAAAATAATCATTATCTTTAACTACATCTTGACCCACCAAAAAAATCTCAGTGCCTTTCAATATTATATTTCATGTTCGAAATTGTTTTCTAATATTTGAACGTTTTCGTAACCCGTGACCCGTTCGTGTCCTATTACACATGTTTTGTCGATAACACACCGCTTACAGATACATCATACATGCATACTTGAATTCGACATTTACAAATGCACGTTAGTGAGTAATACATTTATGCAGAAACTAAAGTACAGTCTCGATACCAGCTATGCTCGCAGTCGTATAAAAGACGAAAAACTGCTCGGGTTTGGTATGAAGAGGCGTATGCAATGTTGAATATTAACTTTATACATTGAATATGATGACTTTTATTCCCTTCCGTTTTTTTGTTGTTGTTGTTGACCAATTGACTACTAACCTTTAATTTGTGTGTCCGAGTTAAGTGAAAACTCGAGGATGCAAATACAACTCAGCTTTCTTTTCTTTTTCTTTTTTGTTCAAAACAACTCAGCTTTCAGTGTTAGTCCCCATTTCCATAATCAAGTGATACTCAAAAACAATACTTTTATTTGAGGAAATAGTAAGAGAAAACAATACAGACACTATAAACTGGTAACTGAGAAAGTTTAATGAGTAATTTAAGATAGTTTAATTTGATTAATATAGAACTGTAAACTGTAAGAAAGCGTGTGGTTTAATTATTGATAGTCAAAGACTTTTAGCACACTGCTTGCTTTGTTATTTGTCAAAGTGGTCTTTGCTTTGCTTTGTCTATCAGCATCACGGGAGCCATTTAATTTT